TGTGGTTATTGATGACAACCCAGAAGAATCAGATGAAGCATCTTTGACTGATCCTGCGTCAGACACCCCTATCAGTGATCCGCCAAAAACATCTGACACAACCAAACTGTTTGACACACATGAATCGTCAGAAGAAGATAAAGGTAGTCCAAAAAAGGACAAATTGCTTTCTGATGGAGATGGAAAAAATAAGCCCACCAGAACTCAGAAAAATCATCCATGAGACAACATAATTGGTGATCCAACAGATGGAATGCACACCAAAAGTCGGATGAGAAGCAATCTGATAGAATTAGCTGGTTTCGTCTGCTACACCTCAAAAATAGAGCCAAAAAATGTGAAGGAAGCCTTGCAGGATGACTTATGGGTTAAGGCAATGCAAGAGGAACTACATCAGTTCGAAAGAAATCATGTGTGGGATCTGGTCCCAAGACCTGACAGTGTGAACAAAGTGGATGTTCAAAAACAAAACTGATGAAGCAGGTAACATTGCAAGAAACAAAGCTCGTTTAGTTTCTCAAGGGTATACTCAAATAGAAGGAGTTGACTATGATGAAACATTTGCTCCTGTTGCTAGATTGGAGTCAATCAGAATCTTACTAGTAATAGCATGCATTCTGGGCTTCACACTGTTTCAGATGGATGTCAAGACAACATTCTTGAATGGTTATTTGCATGAAGATATTTATGTGGCATAGCCTAAGGGATTTGAAGATCCAGTTCACCCAACTCATGTCTACAAACTTAGGAAAGCTCTCTATGGGCTCAAACAGGCCCCAAGGGCATGGTATGAACGACTGACGCAGTATCTGTTACATCATGGTTATGATCGAGGGAGTGTGGACAAAACGTTGTTTGTTAAGACCACTGAAAGTCATGTTACAATTGCTCAGATCTACGTAGACGATATTGTATTTGGGTCTCCATTAGACTTAACACCTCTTTCTGTTTCTGATTTTGAAAACATGGATGCCGCAAGGAAGGCGAAATGGGTGAAAGACATCCATGCGAAAGTGAGACAAAATATAGCAAGACGGAATGAACAAGTGGCTCGACGAGTCAACAAACGACGTCGGAAGGTTGTGTTCAACCCTGGAGATTGGGTTTGGGTGCATTTGAGGAAGAATCAATTTCCAGTTCAAAGGCGGAGCAAGCTGATGCCACGAGGAGATGGGCCTTTTCAAGTAGTCTCCCGGATTAACGATAACGCCTACAAGTTGGCCTTGCCAAGTGAGTATGGCGTCAGTACTTCTTTCAATGTTTCTGATCTTTCTCCGTTTAATGCAGACAAGGCAGATTCGTGGACGAATCCTTCAAAGGAGGGGGGAGATGTTGAGGATAACGATGATCCATTACGAGTCCTAGTAGATGGTCCAATGACAAGGGCAAAGGCTAAACAATTACAAGATGCCGTTGGAGGGCTGATTAGCGCTCAATGGGATATGGATCAATTTGATGAGGACAAGGAGCGGCCGGTTAATCTAATTGGGGTCCAGTTGGAGGGAAATTAATTGAATTGGGCTATGCTGATTACATGGATAGTAAATAAATTTATTGGACTATCCATTAGTATTCAAATAATGAGTAGCATATTATTTCTTTTATAATAAGTAGTCTAGTTATTTGTTTTTAGTTAGGCTTTAGTGCTATGTTTGAATTCAAACTATCCATGTCCTAGTCTTTAGGCAAGAGGCATGCTAGGGAGCTATATATAACACTCCTAATCTCTTTGTAAAGCACACACATCAGATTTTGAGAAATAGCAAACAAGAGCACTACTTGTGCCTTGCCTTGTTTTTGAGTTCTTCAAGACTTCCCGACTTATCAAGGACTGTTTTCTTCCTTGTGGCGTCTCTTTCTTCGTATCACCTTCAAACCAGGTGTGGGCGAATGCCAATCTTAGAAAACACCATAACCCTTCCCGCAACACAACCCAAATCCGTCTAACAGAACCACATCACAAACCAACCGAGACAATGACAGCTCCGTTCTACTAGAGACGTGAAAAAGCCCGAGGACCAAACGAGAATGCAAGGTTTCAAACTTCGTCTCCAGCCCGAGGATCACATCACAGATCATAAACTAGACATAGTGGTCGGGGTTCTATGCCACATCTGAACTGGAGAACTCAGATGCACAGGCTAAACTAACTAACAAAGCATAGGCCATAACTAATAGGTCTAATACCCAAATACAAATCAAGGCACGCAGGCCATCTCATCCAAGCTAGAACTACCTAAACTAAGTCCACGAATCCAACTAGCGCGATCCGAAGGTATTCGTCTATACCTGAAAGCCAAATAATATCTATTCAGCGAATGATGCTGGTAACCCACTTCAACGCGTTAAGTACAATATAGGTAGATATAAGAAACTCATTTTGAAACTGGAATACATATATACTTAAGAAACTCTAATTTAAATCTGAGAACAGACTCAGTTAAGCAACAGCAGACACATTTAATACAATTAGACTCAACCATAAAGATTCTAGCATGCGTCCTCGGGTCTCATGACCGCGCAATATCAATCATATCAATATCCAGTTATCATTACAGTCAAACAATCAACAATAAGACACGCATTGGTGTACACACATATGGTGGTGCCGCAGGACCATTCACATGACCCGAACCTTGAGTTCCATTGCCAGGGGGTCAGCGCATATAGTTCTGACATGGCCCTGCAGTACTTTAACTTGTACCACAGCACAAGGAGATTGATCGCAACCAATCAATGAACCACAGCTCTATATATATATATATATATATATATATATATATATATATATATATATATATATATATATATATATATATATATATATAACAGCCGATTGTTCTCAACCAATCCAACTGCCTGTATAGCCGACCGATCGCAACCGATCGGGTTAATACCTGGTGGTTCTCAACCCACCAGATAGTCATTATAGCCAATTGATCGCAACCAATTGGGGTATCATGCACAATCAACATAGAAGCCAAACAACATGCAACCCACATTGACACATAAGGAGGGGGAAATCATCGGGGAACACTTGTCCTAATATAACTCATACGTAACAAACCATATTAAACCTCTCATGACACTCCTACGGGATCATACACCTTCCTCCTAGGTCAACGGGATACCAATTCAACTAGCATGCAATACACAAGACTCTTTTATCCTAAGAACGGCACACGAAACATCAAACTAGACTCACATACGACAAACGGGGTACAACGGGACACAACAACACACAGGGAAACATCAAACGGGGAAAAACACCACGAACCACGCAGGGATTCCAGCGGGTAGGTGGCGGGTGGAGGACTACCCGCCAACCACCCGCCGCCGGCGGGCACTGTTCCAGCGGGTGGCCGAGCAGTCCTGATGCAGCCCAACATAACGAAGATCCATTAAGAGTACAAATTGAGCCAATCACAAGATCCAAGGCCCAAATCAGCTTTATTATTTGTGGTCATCATTATTTTAAATTGTTTAGAATTAAAGAGAAAACACTAGTTTGTATTTAGAAAGGATTCCTTAAATCCCTTTCTAAATAGAACTATATTTACTTGCTTTCTAGATTAGGTTTAGGACTCTTTTTCCCATTGTATTTAGGATTACAATGCTGCCCTATACCTATAAATAGGGCACATCCATATCAGTTTTTGGAGGCTTTAATTCAATAAAATTCTTAAGTTTTTTCTTTACACTTGTGTAAGAAACCTTATGGCTAATTGTGGACTCAATTAGTGGCTAGTCGTGGACTCGAATCAATCTTCCATTCTTCAACCTTAGATTTAGGTTCGTGAACTCGTTCTTGAATCGAAGGAAACTAGATCCGACTCTAGTTGATTGAAGATTGCATCATCGAGGTACTTGAAGCTACAATGGGAATCTTCCAAGTCTTTGAGGATTCGAGACAAAGGATTTCTCGTGAGGTTTAAGTACTTTGATCCATCTCTATCTTTAGTTTTGAGAGCATTCTTGGGACAATATTCCATCTTTATTTGAACCTTGGACTAGATTCATATCAATTTGGTATGCAGAGCCTAGGTTTATCTCATTATCATTAGAAATTTGGTTTCTTTGGTTCCCTAGGTTTATCTCGTTCTTATCTTACATACTGCTTTTTTTAGTGTTTTATTCATTAAAAAAAAACGAGTTAATTCCAGCAATGGTCCTCTGACTATTGCGATTTTCCAAAATTAGTCCTTGACTTTTAATTTGGACAAAAAAGACACTTGACTATTAGATTTGTTCCAACAATGGTCCTTCCGTTAAAAATCAGTTAAGTTGGTGTTAATTAGAGGGGTATTGTAGTCATTCCATCTTGGTGAATAACTTATCAACATAGTGACTCCAGTCCACAACCACGCATCCACTTCCCATGAAAATCTCCACACAAACGTAACCATAGCGCAGCTTCAATTCACCACCCTCTTCGATCCGCCATTTCCAAACCTCCTTCTTCTTCTTCTTCCTTGTTGCTTTTCCTGATCATCATCCCTCTAGTCCTACATTCTTGGCCTGACAGTAGTACGTACATACATACGTGACAGACAGACAGACAGTAAAAATTTAACGATATATAATTTCGATCTGATCTTCAATTCTCATCATCAGTACATACGTATCATATATGTATGTACATGAAAATTAATTAATTAATTACCAATTTCCTCATGTGCAGATTGTAGAATAGCTCAAGGTATTGCCGCTTTGCAAGTTTTTGCCCTGAGTGCGTCTCCCTCCAGCATCCATACATGGCTCCCATGTTCAAAACTTTGTTGGTATAAATCTTCCATGTAAAACTGCACACACACACACACACACACACATATATATATATATATATATATATATATATATATATATATATATATATATATATATATATATATATATATGTGTGTGTGTGTGTGTGTGTGTGTGTAATGATAAGATATGATTATGTGAATTCTATTATTAATTACCTACTAGCTAGCTATAGCTAATACTATACGTAATAGCTAGCTAGGTACGTACAATTCGTTTATGCGCTTGAGAGCTTCCAGGGAAATCTTATTCCAATATCTGCCATCTGACTTGTACTTGTCAAAGAAGTCAGCAATCTTATTGCTGGAGTCTTCACCATTGTAAGGATCAATGTGAAAGCCTGAGACACCATGAACAATTATCTCCGCAGGCCCTCCTTGATTGGTGGCGAAGGTGGGCAGTCCACAGTGCATTGCTTCAATCACCGTGAGCCCGAAAACTTCATCTAAAGCAGGCTGTACGAAATCCCCTTCTTCGTAACCATAGCGCAGCTTCAATTCACCACCCTCTTCGATCCGCCATGTCCACGCAATATCCCAGAACCAGGCGTGCCGTGGATGGAGTCAACAGTGATAAGTTATTCACCAAGATGGAATGACTACAATACCCCTCTAATTAACACCAACTTAACTGATCTTTGACGGAAGGACTATTGCTGGAACAAATCTAATAGTCAAGTGTCTTTTTTGTCCAAATTAAAAGTCAAGGACTAATTTTGGAAAATCGCAATAGTCGGAGGACCATTGCTGGAATTAACTCTTAAAAAAACCCCAAAAAAATTTTCCTTTGCATTCTTGATTATTTTCTTGAATCTTGATACATGTTCTTTAGTTTCTTGAAAACCTATCCCGAAAGAGTTTTCCCTTTTTCCTATCCAATATCAATGGTACCTCACACCTCCTAAGCACCATATTACCAAACACTCAGTCAAGAAAACAATCCCATCTCACCCTTACCTATATTCGAAGTGCATTTACGCGCAATCACGTCACAATCACACCCTGTCCAGATTTCCGCGTTCTGTGACTAGTTTCAAAGAATGACCTATATCTCGAGATCCACTGGTTAGTTTTATCTAAAATTTTGATATGTTGTATATCTCTTCTGGGGCGTTCGTTTTATATATTATACACTTGCTAATTCCATACTGTCATTGAGATATTGATCTTCAAAGTAAGGGCAGCGTTTCTGTTTTTCTTGGTGATTCTTGAAATTCTTGTTTCTATTTTGAAGGGGTTGTGCGGATCCTCTTGGTCCGAAATTTTTGTTGATATTTACAGTAGTTATTTGGAGGTTACTTATCAAAAAAATCAAAAAAAAAAATCAAGAAAGTTGAAAAAAAAAGAAGAGAGAAAGCAATAAAGAGGAAGAATAAGGTTGGGGAAAGAATCTGGTTGGTAGGAGAATTTTGGAGGGATAAGGAAGTGGAAAAGTATACGGTTGGAAGGAGTTCTTGATATATTCTTATTTGGTTGTGGTACACTTGCACCCCTATTACATTCTATTTGTGTCTATCTTTTGATATTGGTCCTGCATATCTTTCTGCCATATTTTTTTCTTTGCTTCCCTTTTTTTCTTTCAAATCTTGCTTAGTTTCTTTGCTTGTATTGTCCTTTTTCTTTGCTTCTTGCTCTCAATTTTATTACCTACCTCGCGATACACCTTACTCTCAAAGGCTTGTGAAGTTTTCCAATGTACGTTTTTTTGAACTTTGAGGTTGAATCCATATCAACTTCAATTCCGGACTAGAATTTTCTTTTTCGGAAAAAGGTTTGTGAGAGTATCTGCCACCTTGAGCGATACACATGTGGAGTGTGTGTTTGTAAGAGTGTGTAGTGCACCCCCAGAGCCATATAATCCACCTCTTACCTGCGAGCTGAGAATAGTGAGGGAGCGAGCCAACTTTTTGGTTTCACTAACGTGACTACTCACACATCTTCTTGTTTTTTAGATATTTTTTTTCCTCTACAGATGGCGGAACAAGTTCCAAACCTGCCCCAGACATTAGAACAAAAGATAGACAGGTTACTCGAACGAATGAATAATTTGGAGCAACGCTCACAGCAAGTGCAACCACCACACAATGATGAGCGACACCTGCCACCAGCAAGAAGAGTGGATCCTAGATGCCAAAGGATCTAGCAGCGTAATGCGGAGTTAGGAAACATTAAACATGAAATTCCTAACTTCACCTGTGAGAAAGGACCTCTGAATACATAGAATGGGAGAATGCTATTGAAACTCTTTTCTATTTAAAGCATTATTCTGATCTTACAAAAATTAGGCTAGTTTCTACATCTTTTAAGGGATATCCTTTATCTTGGTGGCGAAAAAGAAATAGAGAGAGAGAGAGAGAGTTGCTAATTTGATTCCCTATGAATCTTGGGTTTAAGTGAGGGAAGATATGCGCCTAATCTTTCGTCCTAAATCTTTTTTCTATGATCTCGAATGAAAATTGCAGGGAACGGTGCAAGGAAAAAAGTCAGTTGATGAGTACTACCAAACTATAAATATTTTGCTTAAACAGGGAGACATACATGAAGAAGAGACAAAAACTGTTGCTCGTTTCGTACATGGATTGAACATAGAAATTTGATGTGGAATGAGTATTCAGAGATATGACACCCTTTATGATGCCTTGTATGATTCACGTGAATCTGAGGTAAAAATAAAAGAGATGAAAATGTACAAGTCCAACAATGGTGCATCAAGATGGAACAACACTCGTTCAACCCCTCAAAGGTGTGATGAACATCTTTCTCTAAGAGATGATTCAGGAGAAAAAGGTAAGGAAAAGGTAAGTGAGGCAGTGAGGCCTCAACATGATAAAGAATTTATTTGTTATAGATGTAATGGGAGAGACCACATAGCTCGTGATTGCCCTAACAAGAGGGTAGTTAAGATAACAAAACAATCTGAAAATTTTGCTTCTTGTCTTCAATATAAGTCTGAGGATGAGGTTTGTGACCATTTTGAAACCCCCAATGAACATGTTGAGGGGGAACCATTCATACCTTTAGATTTTGATTCTAAAGATGCTGATAATGAGTCTAGTCATATTGTTGTTGTTAAGGAGGTTTTGAATGGTCACCCTATAAAAGAAGACGAGTCTCAAACTGAAAATATATTTTGTGCTAAAGGGTCAATTAGAGGGAATGTGTGTGCTATGGTAATAGATTCTAGAAGTTGCACAAATGTGGCTAGTGCAGCTATGGTTAAATTTGTTTAGCTACCTTTGCTTGATCACCTGAATCCTTATCGTTTGCAATTGTTAACTGATGCAGGAGAAGCTAGAGTAACCCAACAGGCTCTTATTCCTTTATCTATTAACAGTTACTCTGATGAAATCTTGTGTGATAATTTCCTAATGCAGGCTGCTCATATCTTGATAGGTAGACCATGGCAATTTGACAGAAAAATAAGTTCTGATGGAATGAGGAACACTTATGTGTTTCACATGAATGGGGTTACATATGTCTTGCCTCGTTTGTATCCTAAACAAGTAGAAGAAATTCAATTGACATTGATGCAAGCTATCAAACCAGCTTCAAAGAAGGAAGAAATCAAAGAGAGAAAAGTGGAACCTCCATGTTTGGAATTGCAATCACCACTCCAATCCTCTAACTCAGTTTGTAGCCAAACAAAGGGACCACAATTAGTGATACAATGGAAAGGACCAGCCCAAGGTGTCAAAGTGCAACCTCTCTTGGTAACTAAAAAGGAAAGTATGCAAGAGAAAATAAGGGGAGTAACTATTTACTCATTTTTATTTCAAAAGCATGCATTAAAATTCTCTAGATTTGTTTGTCATGTTTCTATTACTGACCTACTTGCTAGATGTGTTAGAAATTTGTTTGCCTCCATACATCCAAGATTCCATAATTTTGATTTTACTAAAACTTTATTTGATAGAGATAAGGAATCTGTAGGAAGTTATAAGGCACATTTGAAAACTTCTTATGTCAAATACTACTTGCTTAAGGGGTTTTGGTTCAAAGTCAACGAGATTGGCACTTTTCTTTGTTTTGGGCAATAGTTTAATTGTTGATTCACATAAAGGACACTTTGGTTTTCTAAAGAGTGATGATGTTTTGCAAGGATATTCTCATTGGCCAAAGAAGAAAAAAGATGTAGCATCTTATGTTCAGAATTGTGCTAGTTACCACCATAATACATCTAAATCATTACTTGATATTTCCATGAATTTTCTGTTTGATTTTACCTTAAGCTCTAGGAGGAAAGATTTTGTGCTTGTTGACAATTCAAACAAGATGCCTAAATTTAAAATGTCTCATTTTGTTGAATTATTATCATCCAGAATGTTTAAATTCCATGATGTGTCATTAGACTTAATTACCTTACTTGTTGATTGTAGGATGATGATTGGAGCGACTCGTGTCAAGCATCCCAAGAAAATGTTCCATGAGCGTGATAAAACAGAAAGTGAGCTTGCTACTTTGTCTTTCATTGAAGATTTGGATTCGATAACGAATCCTTTTCAAGAATGGGAGAATAATAGGAACCAGTACACATGGAATCCAGTAAGGGTAAACAGTGGGCTCATCACAAGGCTCATAACTACATCCTTAAAGCATCAATGGTGGAATAAACAAGAAAGCCCAATAAAAATTCCATTCGATAGAGGAAAGTATTATAAGTGGCCTGTTTCAAGTGATGTCACAGATCGAAGACAATGTTTAGAAGATTCGAGGTCGAATCATTTTTCAAGAAGGGGAGGATGATGCAGGCCAACATAATGAAGACCCATTAAGAGTACAAATTGGGCCAATCACAAGATCCAAGGCCCAAATCAGCTTTATTATTTGTGGTCATCATTATTTTAAATTGTTTAGAATTAAAGAGAAAACACTAGTTTGTATTTAGAAGGGATTCCTTAAATCCCTTTCTAAATAGGACTATATTTACTTGCTTTCTAGATTAGGTTTAGGACACTTTTTTCCATTTTATTTAGGATTACAATGCTGCACTATACCTATAAATAGGGCACATCCATATCAGTTTTTGGAGGCTTTAATTCAATAAAATTCTTAAGTTTTTTCTTTACACTTGTTTAAGAAACCTTATGGCTAATTGTGGACTCAATTAGTGGCTAGTCGTGGACTCGACTAGCAAATTGATTCGTGGACTCGAATCAATCTTCCTTTCTTCAACCTTAGATTTAGGTTCATGGACTCGTTCTTGAATCGAAGGAAACTAGATCCAACTTTAGTTGATTGAAGATTGCATCATCAAGGTACTTGAAGCAACAATGGGATTCTTCCAAGTCTTTGAGGATTCGAGACAAAGGGTTTCTCGTGAGGTTTAAGGTACTTTGATCCATCTCTATCTTTAGTTTTGAGAGTATTCTTGGGAGAATATTACATCTTTATTTGAACCTTGGACTAGATTCATATCAAGTCCACCGCCCGCCGGCTACCCGCTGGAACAGAAGCGGCGGGCATCGGGTGGTCAGTCCCCCACCTACCCCCCAGTGATACACAGACAACTTTATGGCCTCGGGATCCCTTGTGGAACCCGAAACCATGTCCAAACACGTTCAAACACATAATGACCACACCACGTATTTAATCAACGGGTTTAAACCAACAATCACACCATATACTTCCTAATATTATTCCTAAACATGCCAAGACTCAACACCCGATCATGCAAATTCCCACCCAAACATACCAAGAATAACATAATACGAAATCCACGTTTACTACCCTAGGGCTCTAGACATAATCAAAACACAAGATCATTCATATAACTTATCACAGTATCAAGAACATCAAGATTATCACATAAGCATCAAGATTAACAAATAAACATCAAGATCATCATATAAACACCATATAAACTCTAGGCAAAGCTCTATCAAGACTCAAGCACAAAATCATATATCAAAGGAGCCAATGAAGAAGATATAGCGAGGAAAATAGGTTTTGTTGAGACATGGGTTACCTCTTAGCCTTAATTAATCCTCCCTTGCTATTAAGGTTCTTCTCTAAGATTTCCATCCGATTGATCTCCCTAGGCTTGGTGGTGGGGAATCTCTTGGGAATAATTTCGTGTAATATAACTATGGGTGGTAAGAGTTCTAATTGCTTTCTAATCCCTTATTTATAGAATCAAGAATCCTAATCATAATCTGAATAGTAAAGGCCTACTTTCTTAAATAGATATATAGGTCTAGGATTTCTAATTAGAATCTGACTAGTAAAATGTTTACTCTCTTTATTCCTAATAGGCTTAAGACTCTAGTTTAGGCAAGGGTCCACGATCCATGGTAGACCACATTAATTAATTAAAGGGAATCCTAACCAAATTAAATCCTTTTTAATTATCATTAACGGAATTAATTGAATAATTAATCGGGGATTGAAGACCGTAACACCGGGTGTTACAATGTTGCACTCAACTTGTCTGGATGAAGCAAATGCTGCTAGATTATGGTCTCTCTCAAAACTCTATGATACTTTATTGTGACAATATCAGTGCAATAAACATTTCAAAGAATCCAGTTCAACACTCCAGAACCAATCAGAGATTTGGTCAAAGCAAAAGAGATAGAGTTGGAATATATTCAGACAGATAAGCAACTGGCAGACATACTGACTAAGCCTCTAGACGCAAATCGGTTTGAGATTCTCAGATCTGCTCTGGGGATCTGTAGGATGGATTGTTAAGACAGAATGATAAATCAGAAGAAGGGTTTTTGTTTTTCTCAGCCTCGAGTCAAAATTTCAATCTTTGACTTCCTAAATTAACCCTCTTCTGTTTTGTTAAGTAAATATCTTAACCTAACTTACCCAAATTAAATTGCCTTTTTCAAATTTCAAATCTTCCGTTTTATCCCTAAAAAGGAGATATACCATTGCATCAATCACTTCATAGCTGCATGCATCCTGCCAGCCGCATTAGTTATCGTTCCTCACACTTTGGATTATATCTTTCGTCTGATCGTTCTTAGTGAAAAAGAAATCCTCAACACAACTCTGTTCTCTGTAAACCATCTCTCAAATATCTCTACCTAGGGTTTTTCCACACCCTCTCCTTCAAATCACTCGCAGATATGGCTGATGCAGTGAAAAACATCATTATCAAGTTGGGAAGGAAAAATCACTCACCATAAAGTGCTCGGAAGCATGTGAATACGCTTCTCCAACTAGCAATGAAGAAGAAGCTAAAGTTGGACCCTGTTCTTCGAGACGAGATCCTTGTCACGGTGATATCTGACTACCCTGAGTTCTATGAAAACTGGTCAGACGATAATACAAGCAATCTTTTGGTGATGGCTTCTGAAGCAGATGATGATATAAGCCCAGCCTCTATTGACGAACCAGAAGACAGGAATCGTGCAGGGGCATTCCTCAAATTATTTGCACAAAGGGCTCTGGAATGGGAGGAAATTTCTCGGCAACGGGTAGAGGCACATCCTTTATATCTTCAAGCAGCCCAGGAGGAAGCTAAGCGCCGAATCGAGTTTCTACAAAACAGGTCAAATACTTCTGACACTCCTATTGAAATTTCTCCTGATACAGAACTCTTACTGTCTGCTAAGCCTATTGTATCTGATGATCCACCCCAGTTGCCCACTGTAAAATCTGAGTCTACAAAACCTGTTTTTGTGACTGAATCTGAGGGGATTGTTCCCAAGTCTAATGATATTGAAAAGTTGAGTCTAGTTGTGTATTCTTCAGATGTTGATCGTTCTGTGGTTTCTGTTAACCCTGAGTCTACTCTACCTGATAAGCCCTTTGTTGAGAAGTGTCCAGTTGAAAATCCACAAAAGGAGTCTGTTGTGACTATTGCTGAACAGCCAGAAAGCCCCCGTTCTTATGAGTCAATTGATGGTGTCGCTATCTATACATCTTCCAATCTGGCAGAGAGCCTAGACCATATTCGCCACTTTGCGGGATTACCCTCTGCTTCAATACCTAAGCCATACAAAGTAATACGTCCGACACATGATCGTTCCATTCCAACAGACAGTGATGATGAAAGAATTCTGGCTGAAGTCTACGGTTCAAAAGCTCCATCCTCTGACCCAATTGGATCTTTAACAGTGGAAGAGACAGCACACCCAGATTCCACATCCTTCAAAATCAGAGAAGTCACCAAGCTTCTAGCATCCTCTACTGTCCACGGGTTGAGACCAGCAATTCTGTATCTCCGAGTCCTACAAAGAGCTCACCTGTCAGCGAAAGGCGAAAGTCCATAAGGAAAGGAGTTCCAGAGAAAGCTGCTATGGATGCTGGTGATTAACCTACAGAATCTACTCAACCAGAGAAGAAATGAAGGTCGGCTGATTCTGAGAAGGCTGAAAGTGATCCGCCGGTCAGACTAGCTTTTAAGACCCTGAGATCTTCTGTTAAAAATAAAGCTCCTACAGTTGTGCTGTCAACAGCAAGCAGAAAAATGAAAGTTGCTTCAAAGCCGAGAGGAAGGAGTGTTACTCCTGATGTGCAGAATGTTTCTGAATGTCCTGATACTTCTGTTTACAAACCACAGTTTGTCTCTGAAACTGCTCAAGGCAAGTGGTCTACAATGGTGAGACGTGAGCTGATCGTACAGAGATCGGTGGATGAGAATCAATTGAATTCAGTCTGTGATGTATTGCCTTTTCTGAGTGAGGTTGGTCTGCTGAAGACAGTGACATCCATTTGTCCTTACTCAAAGTTGCTGACTTACGAATTCTACTGCAACCTAAATGAGGAGATTGATAATCTTACTAGTGAGAAGTGCCAGCAAATCTTCATCAGGGGTAAGTGGTATGTGTTCGGACCAGACATGATTAATCAGTACTATGGGTTGAAAACAATTGAAGAAGAAGAAATTTCTGACTGGGATTTGGTTGTGAAGACCCTCACTGGAGGACTGGCACCTGTATGGCCAACTGGTGATAATGATACATTGTCCAGCTCTCAATTTACCTGCAAGTTTGTTATTCTACACCGGATTGCTTTGCACAACTAGCTTCCATCAGCACATTTTCATACAATCGGAAAGACTCTAGCTGCTCTTCTGTTTCGAGTTGGCACCAAGGTGACCATTGATTTAGGGAGATGGATCTTCTATCATATTCTCACATTGATACATCCCAGGGAACAGAAGGTAAGACTCCCGTATCCTAATCTCACCTTTGGTGTGTTAACATCCCAGGGTTTGATTCCGATGCAAGTGAGATCATTGCTCCTTCTCTGCTGTATACTGTGGATCCACGCCTTTTGACTGGAAAACATATCCGGGATGTTACGCCTGTTGATGCTCCGCATACTTCTGAGGCTGATACTGCTGTTGAGGATACCCCATATTCTCGAGATGTGCAGTTGTCCCTGCAACTGAAGGCTTGTGTGTTTGAGCTGGAGACTGTGAGAAATATTATCTCAAATCAGCTCAATGCGGCCCGCACTGAACTTGCAACTATTCTATTTGGAATGAGTTTGACTGAGTCTGCTGCTGGTGAAAATGTGAAGACTGACAGTGAAGGTCCCTCTAATGCTTAACGTGTCCTTTGTCTATCTTTGGCAAAAAGGGGGAGTGCTATAACTCTGGGGGAGTTTTTGTGATTATGATGGTGTTTTGTGGTTGGTTGAAGTACCTTCTGGCCCTGACTAGGCGTGTTTTTGTGAAGAATTGGTCTGCTCTATGTTTTTATCCAGCACAGGTTGTGTGCTGATGACTTTATGGCTTGTAAATCAAACAATATTTCCTTTGCTAACTGTTACCAGTATTTTTTTTATTATGCACTTCTCTATCTTTAGCTAAGATGTTTTATCCTTAGTTGAGTTGTTTTGCCAAATAATAGCCAAAGGGGGAATTTGTTAGTGTTTTATTTTTGGAAGAAAAACCCCAACATATAATTGGCAATATTATTATGGCAAATTAAGATAGGGTTTAGCTTGGTGTCTGTTTGTCCTTAAAGAAGACTGACTGATCAGTACAATCAACAGACGCACTGCTAGATCAAGCCACTGAAGATCTGATAAAGGAAAGTTTTCTAAAAAGCTGGGACGCGGTTATGAGATGACAGTTTTGGAAAGAATATCAGCGGATCAGCGTGAAAGGTATGGACCGAATCTTAAAGATTTCTTTCTTCACAAAAAGTCCTACCATCTAAAATCAGAGATATATTTGGAGAGTGTCCAAATCAAAGAAGTATATATATCCTCATTCGTTCAAGAATTAGGGTTGCATTTATTGAGGCCGCAACACTCTATACTAAACAAAATACACATCTCTGGTTGTCATGCCTCTTCTCAAGACAATAAGTTCTTGGTGATTATGAAGAAGAACTTGAGAAGTATCAACGTTGCTTAAACGATAGGACGCGAAGATCACTCAGTTGTGGGAACAACGTGGGACTGCGTCATTGAAGCGGACTGCATCAGAGTTAGCTCTCCAATTGAAGGGATTTCATTGGAGTTCTGCATGCGTGGCTCTCCGACTTCAACAATCCACTAAACCTTTGTAGACTGGGTACTGACCTTGTGTGGGGCACTTGGGTGAGATTGTTTTTTTCTCTACCTTTATACATTGGATTATGAGTTAGTGGGTTGGACGCCTCGGTGATCGTCCCCCAGATGTAGATACACACTGTATCGAACTAGGTAAACAAACATATGTGTTGATTTACTTTCTGCCTTACTCTTCCGCTTTTCAATTTATCTGCTATTTTATCTGGATGACTGATCAATTGAGCGTCTGAGTCAATCAGTCTAGTATTCTGGTTGCTAGAAACTAAAACAATATCGATATACTGAGAATATGCAAAATTACAGATTTAAACTAGAGTCTCGTAAGTATATATGTATTCCAGTTTCAAAATGAGTTTCTTATATCTACCTATATTGTACTTAACACGTTGGAGTGGGTTACCAGCATTATTCGCTGACGGTTATTATACCGAATGTTTTTCAAGTGATGAGCATTAGCTACAGAGCGCGTTAGTCAGAACCTAGGACTTAGCTTAAATAGCCTTAACACAGTAGTTGGCCTGCGTGCCATGGATTGTATTTGAATATTGATTTACGGATTAATTATGCTTGGTTAGTTTAGCCTGTGCACCTAGGTTCTCAAACCTAGGTGTGGCATAGCACCCCGACTCTTATGGATAGCTTTATGCTTTGTTTGGGATTTAATTGTTAGATTCGCCTTTATTTTATAAGTTTTTAAATATCTCAAAATTTAGGGGTGTTACAGTTTGTATCAGAGCCTAAGTTCGACCCCAGGACAATGCCTTTAGGATAAGACTTTAAAGACGTTAGGCTTGAATTCTAAGTGTTTAAGATCTTTAGGAAGGGACTTTAGGACTTTAGGTTTAAACTCTAGGTGTTACATAGGATCTTGGATACTTAGGACGCGCAGTGTCATTGTCCACTTAACTTCTCCTCACTCTATTCTGTGCTTAGCTTAGGAATTCCCCATAATTATAGCATCAGAGTAAGGATGCGAAGCTCAAACTTACCATTACGATCGATGTTGGTCCTGTAGACACCAGGATGGCACCGACAAGAAATCAGTCAAGGACCCCTGAACCCTCTGCCCACGAATCATTAATTCAGAACCTGCAGCAACTGACTCAGGTCGCCCAGTCACTGAGCAACGCCATCCTCCATAACAACAACCGACAACCGTCGCCGAATGGGAACTCGGATATAGCTCGCAAAGTCTCGAGCCATCGCCCGCCTATCTTCTCCGGGGAAGAAGATCCCACGACCTTCGAGGAATGGATCCGGACATCCGACAAGATCTTCGAGGTAGTATGTAACACCCCTAATTTTTGATATATTTTAAAACCTATAAATAAAGGCGAATCTATTATTATTTCCCAAACAGAGCATAGCTAAACATAGTAGTCGGGGTGCTATGCCACATCTGAGGTAGAGAACTCAGATACACAGGCTAAACTAACTAACAAAGGATAAATCACAACTAATACTCAAATACAAATCAAGGCACGAGACCATCTAATCAAGGCTAGAACAATCTAAACTAAGTCCACGAATTCAACTAGCGCGCTTCGAAGCTACTCAATTGTCCCTGAAAACATTCGGTGTAACAACCGTCAGCGAATAATGCTGGTAACCCACTCCAAC